GATGAAAATTTTATGGAAGGAGACTACCCATCACTCTCCAGAGAAGCAGCTGGTGGATTCCAACCACCCACCTTTAGGATGGTAGCACAACTCCTTACCTTTTAGACCACCAGAGGTCCAACAGTTTATATGGAAGGGAAAAATTATGATCAAATAAAAATGTAACTTCTTGTGATCTTCTGTGAAAAGGACATTCATCATTACATAAGGTCCTTCACTTCAACTTCAACAGAAGAAACAAGAGGAAGTTAAAAAGCTTCCAAACAACAAAAATAAATGTCAGAAAGGTCATGGACTAAAACTTACAGACTAATTCACAAGAAAGTGACTGTGCCCTCCTCTGAGCTTACCTCCTCTTAGACTCTATTCCACAGACTGTGATAATGTGTTTTCAATAAAACAGAGTTTAGGAGGAGTGGGAACAGCTTTGTAAAATGTAGGCACAATGACAGTGGTAGGAAAAGAAAACTGAAGCTGATAAAAAGAAAAGCCAGAAACGTAAGATTAAAGTATTCTAAAAGACAGTATTAGGGGATCATCTGCCCCCAGAATGAATGGTCCACGATGCCACTAAAGCTCTTGAGGGAAAGACATATGCACTGAATGATGTACATAAGGATATCCCTAACTAAAATAGGTACATTCAACATGGTTCAAGAAAGAGAGGAAAATAAGAAGCATATTTCAGTTTCCTGGGCATACTACAACCAGACATTACTTCACCAACAATTTTGAGATTGGCATCTCCTTGGAACTATATGCAATGTTGTTATTATGTGCCGTTGAGTTGCCTGCAACTCACAGCAACCCTATGTTCAACAGCCCTTTACCCTGCTCTGTCCATTGCAGATCGTATGGTCTCCGACATGCCTATCCCCATTCCCCCAGTGACTGAATCAATCCGTCTCATCGAGAGTCTTCCTCTCCTGCACTGTCCCTCTACCTTCCCAAGCATGACATAACTCTCCAAGGACTGATCCTGCCTTGCAACATGTCCAAAGTATGTCAGACAAAGCTTCAGAATCCTTGATTCAAAAGAGCAGCATGGCTTCCACCTCTCCAGGACGAACCTGTTTTTTCTCCTAGCAGTCCATTGTATACTCAATACTCTTCTCCAGCACCACAACTCAAAAGCATCAACTCTCCTTCTGTCATCCCTAGTCATTGTCCAGCTCTGTGATGCATAGCAGATAACTGCGAAGACTATGGCCTGTATCAGGTGCACATTAGTCTCCAGACTGAATACGCTGCTCTTCAGTACATTGGAGAGATCTCTGACAGCAGACTTTCCCAATGCAATTCATCTTTTAATTTCCTGGCTGCTGGTGCCAAGAGTGTTGACTGTAGAGCCAAGCAAATTGAAGCGATCAACAATCTTAATCTCTTCATTATCTAGCATGATGCTTTCAATCAGCCTAGTGGTGAGAATCTTTGTTTTCTTGTTGAGCTTCAATCCATACTGAAGACTGTAGTCCTTGACCTTCTGCAGCCAGCACGTTAGGGCCTCCTCAGGTTCAGCAAACAGGTAAATACAGGCCATTTATAAAATAACATTTTAATGTCTGTTAATTGAAAATTTACATAGCAAATTGGATTCCCATTTCATAATTTCTACATAAATTGCTCAGTGAGATTAATTATATTTGTCAGAATGTGTCAACATTCTCTTTAAGTGCTTTCTGACTATCCTACTTCCAGGGCTCTAGTGTTCCTACCTCCTTATTTTTGCCCCTGCCTCCTTTATCTTCTCATCTTAGCTCCAGAGCAATTTGATATTTTTTTCTTATGCAGTTTTTTTTACACATAGGTCTCATACAGGGCACCATGCACTCAAATATTATCCTTTAGTTTTAGATGTCAATATATTACATCACTTAAAGGTGACCCTAGGATATTGTTTCCATTCAATCTTTAGGGAGAGAAACCCAGAGTGGCCATCTCTGGGAGTTCTCTAGTCTCATTTGGTTAAACTGGATGTTTAATAACTTGAATTCTCTTGTCTTTTTTCTCTACTTCATCATAGTTTACATGTCATTTTTTTCTCACCCTAATAGTCACACCAGCAGTAATGGCCATCCCATCTACTCTCTAAGCAAGCTAGTATTACTATATTTTATCACTGTCCTTCAATTTGGAGACTTATGTGTAAGACTTCAGGGTCAGAAGCTCTATTAGGAATGATGGACACACAGATAAATAAGAGGCAAAGCTATTCTTATAGTAAAATCTAATATTAAGCCAAAAGTCAGATAATTATTAATGGGGCAAATGACGTAGATTTCCCTAAATTACTTTTGAAGCATTTCCAAGTGTTCCTCTATGTACACTGTATGTAGTATTAGCTATAGCAGTTGATTCCTGGATACCCACTTAACACTGAAAGTGAGCAGGATAGGGGTTTGGCTGAGCACACACCATGAGGGATTTGGAATACTCCAGGAAACACACTGTAATGAGTAGTTCCGAAAGCAGCAATGAGCTCCCATCATCACAGATCAATTTGGGTATTTTAGATTAAGCATTAGCAGACCTTGCGTAAAATGATGTCTTGCATAAACTGTGTCAATGGCATTTTCTACGCAGTGTCCTGAGAATTCTTTTTACCTTCAGAACTGGACAATCCTTCAAAGTTAGCAATACGATGAGAACTTAAAAATCAATCATAACTCAGAAGGAAGACAACAAAATCCCATGCAAGGGAATGGTAAATTTGAAGTTTAAAAATAAAAACAAGTGTAACAAATCTAGTCTCATTCAAGAAGAGATTTTCTTAAGTACCTACCTGTTATCCTCAAATCTTGGATTCTTCAAGTGAAGCATAATGATAACTTGAGCATGAGTAGGAAAATAGTTCTATATTGCCCCCTAGTGCTGGTCAATCTCATTTCACTGCAGGCTAAAAACTAGAAGGTGAGTAGTTACCCCACCTCTAGTTACTTCCTGTTGCCAGTGTTCCCAAGAGCTAAACATAGCCCAATTCTCTGCCCACAGATTAGGAAGCTACCAGGCTATATTTAGCACCATGCATTGTAAGAATGGAAAGGGCCAGGCCTCAGAAGCCATCAAAATGTGTGTGGCCTGGTTTAATGAACCCACCTCTCTTAAGGGAGTGAACCTACTATATGATTGGTGGAGGCCAATAACCTGCCATAAGAGAACTCTAGAGTCCATTACAAAGTGAGAGTAGCACAGGGATTCCAATGAGAGAACCACAAGAAAGGAGCAACAAGAGGCACAGGTAGGAAAGGAATTTGGGAAAGATGACAGATATCAAGCATAAGCTTAAAAACCCAGAGCAGTAGGGAAAAATCATACCAGACAGGGCAACTGAAGATAGGAGACAGAAGCCAGGAATACCACGCATTGTTGTCACTTAGGAGAAGCGTGTCCAGTAATAAGCATTATTTTGAACTGGACATTTATTTTACATGAGACAGAACAAAGGTTGGTCTGATCTGCTTCCTGCCAGGGTACAGCTGGTGCTGTGGCTCCTTTGATCACTTTCCCCCAGCCCTCTGCAGCTCCTGTGATTTGAGATAGATCCCTAGGCTGCCCTTTGATCAACAGCTCAAGCAGCCTGCAGGTGCCGTGTGCCATCACATTTAAAGTTGTAAGGAGCAACCACACCAATATTGTCTGATAGATATAATACCATGTCATGCAGCAAGAGCAGCAAACACTGCCTTACAATAGTTCCAGAACTCCTTTATTTCATCTATTTTTGTACTCAAGAACTTTCTGTGCCTTATCTTAAAGATGAACACTTTAGAGAGTTTAAATTCCAAGTTAAAGCTTTGAAACATCCATTACTTAGAAAGTTACAGAACACTATGGTACACGCCATTCTGATTTTCTAGGTATGCTGCCTGTGTTCATTTAGCCCACTTAACGAGGTGACAGCCTTCTTGCATTCTGCACAGATGACACAGAAAGTAGTAAAAACATGTCCATTCCTTTTCAAACAGCATTGGGAACCACTACTTGTAAGCAAGATGTTTTAATAATCTAATTTTAGACAGCCTACATTAACATTGTGGTTTCATGTGCAGTATAAAATTTCTATTTACAAAGTCTTCACAAAAATGACTTCATAATAGTAGATCAAGAGAAAGAGCGTTTAGAAACTGAATGATGTAAATCATATGGGGGTTCAGAGGCTAAGCAAATTACACACCCTGAAGCTGCCCTGGCTTTATGAAAGGAGCCTTTCTCCAGCTCTGCGCAATCCCAGCCCAAGGGAACTTGCATCTGAGAGTTTTCTAAACATTTCAGGTACACTTGAAAGCTGAAAGTAATTCTCATTTCCTATGCAGGATTAAGTCGTTTCCAGCACACACAAAATAGCAGTCATTCACCAACACATACAAAAACACGCCGCCAGAAAGGTAAGGACTTCAGAGTACAAAGGCACGTTTAAAAAACAAAAATTAGGAGCACAAGGGCAATGGTTTATTTTTTTAAAAATCCCCTTTCAAAACGCCCACACAGCCTCTTGACCTCTATATTTCCCATCTAATGACTAATTCGGTGCCCCTCTAACTAAAGCACTTCAATTAATGCAGTTGATACATTCCTACCCCTTCAAAATCCGAGTAGAGTCAAACATGCCAAAGACCCATTCATTTTTTTCATCCCTCATTAGAGGCAGTTCTTGAACTTCTAACTCTGGCAGTGAGAGGTCCTACAACGTGCATTTTGAACATGCTCAAGTTTGAACTGACATTCACAATCACTTCCAGAATGCCCAATCTCACTGAGGCTGCAGTGAGACTCTGGTTACTCTCTCAGAGCTTTGTAGTAGCTTCTGAAGTTGCAAACTACACGTAACCTCCAAAAGTCCATGCCAATGAACTGAGCGCGCATTTGCATGGATAGAAAAGAGATGATTACCAGCCCTCACAGGCTGGTGTACATCACACAAGAACTCATAACGCCAGTATAATACACTCAGACGAGCAAGAAACAACTGAGCGGGGGCAGAGGTAGGGGAAACGTCTTACCGTTCTGTTCCTTGTTGCTGGAGAACTGGAATTTACTACTCAGGTTGGACTCCGCCTGAGTCCCGTGTCTCTGGCCGACCAGGGCAGATGTCAGCAGGAGAAGCCCGAAGAGGAGCATTTGGCTGATTGGGGCGAGAGCTTACTCACGGCGGGCACTTTGGAAGCAGCGGCTCCTGAGTCTCTTTCACCACCGCCAGGGGAAGGCTGCACTGGGGTGGAAGCGCCGAGCCTGCTCTGGCAGCAGAGAATCGCAGGGTAGTTTCCACATAATCCCATCCAAAACTTTTTCCTAGAGCCCTCTTCTGTGTCTCCAGTTTTTGAAAAGGATCAAAGCAAAACCTGGACCTGAACCAGTTTCCCAAGGTTTAAACAAATCCTGAGCTGTGCCGAAGTGGTGGGGGTGGGGGTGAAGGCGAGGGAGGAAAAGAGGGGGTGGGGACACAAGGGAGACGGGGGAGCGGCGAGAAGTCACCAGCAAGTTGCTGGGAGCACCTGTCAGTCTGAGGCACAAGGCAGAGGCGAAAACTCAAGGGTCCGGCCAAGCCAAGTTGGCTGCAAAGAGTTGCCGATCAATAACAAAGCTGCCAATAGATGCGGCTGTCCGAGAGCCCCTCTCCCCAGCTCCACCCCCACCCCCAAAGGGGGAGGGGGACGGAATCAGACGAGGGCGCCGCGGTGGTTCCCCAGGCCGAGGAGCCGGAATGGGGCGTGGGGACTCCCAGCCGAGGCGCCCCGGGCGCAGGCGGAGGGAGACCTCAGGGTGCCCGCTCCCCCGCCCAGCGCGCAGCCTGTACCCCGTCCCAGCCTCTGCAGCACGGATTCCGCCACCTGGCTTGAGTTGGGCGCCACTAAAATTCACCTTGTTTGTGCGCCTGGCCCCCTCTTCGAAGTCAAGGGAAGTAGGGCTCCGTGGGGTCACCGGTGGGGGCCCCGGTCGCTACCACTCCCCTCCCCCAAAAGCCCAGGGCTCTGCGCAAACCTCGGGGCTCGGCGCAGCGTCTCGGCACGGGGTGGAGAGAGAAGGCCTGGGCGGCCCGGAGAATCGGACTTGTCCCCTCCCCTTCTCCACCTTCCCCCAGCCGGGCAGAAGTCGGGAGGAGGGGACCCTGGGCCGAGCCCAGGCGGAGTGCGCAGCGGGCAGACGGGGGAGGCAGAGCCCGGAGTCGCACTCCCGCGAGCCGCGGTGGGGCGCGCGGGGGTCGGCGCCTCGGGGAGAGGCAGCCTCGGCCGCAGTCGTCTCTCGCTGCCTTGGCTGACAACTGGCTGCCCAACAGGTGCTGGCGCAGTCAGGGGTGCTGAAGGGCTCGTAACTTTCGGGGCTCAGACTGACCCGCCAGGAAATGCAGCCGGTCACTTCCCTTGATTTCCTTACCCTATGGCGCCCCTAACCCCAAATAAAGTGCTAAATGACAGAGGGTGCAACATAGCCCAAAGGAAGTAGAGAACATACTGCAACTCTTCCTTTGTACACACACACCCCTTTGACCCCAGTGAAAGGACTTTGTCAAGACCCCTTGCCTAGAGTTACTCAAGTGAAGGAATAAGAGAAACTAGAATTCACAGATTTCCTTCTTGCTTCTACCCTTGAAAGTGGAACGGATAAAACAAAAGGCAAACTGTCAAAGAAAACGGGCAATATTTATAATTAGTTCTATATTTAATGCCTACTATCTCAGGTTCTGTTGTAGGAAGTAGCCTTGAAGACACAAAAATCCCTGCCCTCTTGCTAGTCGGGCTGCATTAGATTAATATCAAACAAGTGCAAAAGCACGCAAATCAGAACATCACACCACCTCCTCCCAGGCTTTGTTAAACAAGTCAATGCAAACAATGCGACCACGTGGTCCTCCACCCGCACTGGCAAGGAAGGACACAGCCTTAAGGTGCTTGGTGAAATAGGGGTGGAGTCTTAAATGCCTGTTTTGGAGGCGTTTCCCTTCCTGTAAAAACTGCCTGCCTTACCTCTTCTTTGAAGAGTCTAGATAGAGATGCTTTACTAAGACATAGGGTCAAGAAAACAGTCTCCCTAAAATGCGGTGTTCCTAAAATTCAGTGTCTCTACATTTTACAGGAACAGATCGTTCTGGATCAAAACAGAAGCTGAACTTTCTTAGTTTCGCTGCAAATAACAAGTCTTCCTGTATCTCTGGACAGGGCTGGGAACCAACCAGCCAAATCCCTGTGTGGACTACCTTAATCCAGTTCCTGTTTTCCCCTCTTTAAATTCTACTTTACATAATCCAGAGTCTGAACACATACTTGCTCGTTCTTTCATCTTTTACTACTTCTATCTTCTGAGTATTAAGTAAAGCACAGCTTTGCACTTCCAGAAATTTACAATTTAGTGGGAACAAGCCTTGTTAGTTTATTGACTTTAAAAGCTTTTGGGCATCAGTGTGAATTCCTGTTTGCATGATAAATATATTCCAAAAGTGAGAGTGTTCTCAGTTTTAATAGTATAATGGGGAAAAAATTAAAAAATAGCATAATGGGTTTGCTGTATACAGGGTATACTTTATATATTCATTTTGATCAGTTTATAACAAAGTTCATTACTCTCCAGTTTATTTTTGTAAATTTAATTTTTAACCATTATTTTTCTAAATTGTGTTCCGCCAAGAAAACAAACAGATTCATCCTAGAGAGGGTTAAACCAAGCTACTCCTTGGAGGCAAAGATTCTGGGCCATCGTCTGACATACTTTGAACATGTTGCAAGGAGAGACAGGTCTTTGGAGAGGGACATCATGCTGGGTAGAGTAGAGGGACAGAGCAGGAGGGGAAGACCCTCTGAGATGGATTGATTCAGTGACTGGAGTAATCAGGATGGGTGTGTCAGAGGCAATGCAATTGGCACAGAATAGAGCAGGGTTTAGAGCTGTTGTACATAGGGTCGCTATGAGTCGCAAACTACTCAACACTCGACGGCACATAACAACAACAACAACATGTTTTTGTCATATCCATGTAGCTGTGTTTCCTGTCCAACCACATGAAAGGGGGGGTGCATCTGTACATGTACACCCATGTGTCTGTAAATAAAGACATTTGCTTTCACTAGATTGTAAAGGCAAAGACTAAATTTTAGTGTGTAAAACTTCCGTAGAAGTTTATTCTGTAGAACCATGCCTGACACCACAAGGAAATAAATAAATAGACATTCTTGAATTATTTTATTAGTAGTAGTATTAAGTCACTGAAGTTCTACTAGAATTTCAGTGGAATGATTGAAAAGTATAGTTACAGAAGACCTAGAACAATACTCTACCGTGGTGTTTCATGTTTCACTTCATCCATGTTCAATAGATTGATTTAACAATCCCTTTATAAATAAAATCAAGTGCTCCCAAATGACTCCTAGACAAAATCACCTCCATGTTGGCAAGTTTATCTCCATTGTACTTGATTCTTATTTCTTAAACTCTTCTTGTATTTAGCATAGCTGGTTCTTCTAACACATTATCGTCTCCTAGTCTTCCTAATATCCTTTGTTGTAATCTTTCCTAGAAAAGTGTGATTCTTGCATTGAAAGAAAATGCTATATAATCCAGAGTCTGAGCACTTACTAAACAGTATCTTCTAAATTAATATGACTTTATTTTTACCTCAAACATTTCCCAAAGGAAAGGCATCTACTCTGTCGACCAAGAGAAAATAATTGTAAGCATTCTATGTAGTTTTCATGTTTCCTTAAACCTTCAGAAGGAATGCCCACTTCTCCTGTACATATGGAACATAAGAAGAGTACCACTTTCCTGATAAAGAGCATAGGAAACTGTATGTAATTGGTAAAAGATGATGGTGATCATTTTTATTTCTATTTGTTTATTTAGTTGGATTGGTATCACGGTTGTTTTCTCCCCCTATGAAATTAGCTTTTAAAGTACACTGTTGCCTTGCTTAGCCATTTAACACCCAGGAAGGCAGGATCCATGAACTGTATTTTTGCCTCAGTAAATCAATAATTACAAGTGTTATCACATTCTCTCCTCCTATGTCAATACACATACACACATGCACACAGAAGTGTATGTACATTTAAGACTCTTCCCAAACCTTTTCTGTGTTTTAGTGGTAGATAATAAAGGATATGTTTCTGAAATTTAAAAAGTTCTGTCTTTAATAAAACATGCTGTATTTCCAGAATAGCTACAAGTAACACATATATATGCATATGTACAAGGTCAGTGGAAAAGATGTCATTAGTAACACCACAACATAAATTTATTCAGAGAAATAAAGGGAGAAAAAGAAAGTAGATAGTCTCCTCTAGATCATCTTTTTGTCTCTCCTCTTCTCCAAATGACATGAAAAATGTATGATTGTGTTATTTCAAAGTATCTAGAATAAATGAATACCTAGTAATAACAAAACATATTTTCCCTTACATTTTATTCTTTAGGCACCCTTTACCTCCCAGTTTAACTTCAACAGTCTGAGAAAACATGCTTGCTATAGAAAGAGTACAGAAACTCTGCAAGGAATAACGTCACACTCTCTGAAGTAAAAGAGTTTTTCAATTTTTACTTTATTGAAAGAAGAGTTGGAAGGAGTGGAATTAGAGCAGTGTGGCCAGGAGAAGTAAATGGCAAGGACTTCTGTTCAGGAGAATTTCTGTGGCCTTTCCCATTAACATAAAACTCTCCCTTTTTAAATAGTTACTGAGAATGCACAAGTTTTTAGAAAATCTTAGAAGTGCTTGTCTGACTCAACTCAGGGAGTAAGTAAGTAGAAAAAGCCTCAAAGAGACAGGAGGCCTGGTAACCTTTGAACCATCACAACAAAAGATTATTTCACTGGGAGAGGGCTGACCAGGGACTTACCATGAACAAACAGTGCAAACTTGATCTAGAAATCCTCTCTGCCCCTCAGTCTTTTTCCTTTAACAATGAGAAATTTGAACTGAATTTTACTCCCAGCCTTTTACTCGGAAGTATTAAATAATTATGACAATACTTTTCCAAATTAATGGTGATAATATGTAACTAGAGCAATAGTTTCTACCCTTCAACTCATAGTGGTGGTTGGCAAGAAAGAGGATGGATGGGTTGCTACTTTTTCCTAATCTCACCCAGTAAAAGCAGTTCTATTTTTTTCTGTTATGGATTGGAAAGGCAGATGCCACTGATAAAAGTGAGAAGCAAAAAGTAGTTTAGAGACATTGACTAGGACAAGTACCGGGAGTGTTAATAAGCTCAAGGAAATGAAATAAATTCTATATGGGTATATATATTTTAATTTATATACTTGGTTGTTCAGTGAATACATTGAAGAGGCAAAATGTGGCCCCAAATAGAATGTCAATGTAAAGAATAATAGCTTATAATGCTAGCAGAGTTGTAAATAATCAGGAGATAATATTGTTGTTAGCCAAGAACAGATGGTCAATCGCAAACTCTTCTATAGAATCACACTGGTAGAATTTGAAACAATCCAAGGAGAAGGGCCAGCCTCTGAAAATGTGGACAGCAACTGAATACTATGTTTAGCCATATCCTTGAGTTAATAAGATGTCATTTTTCTCTCCCTTGAAAT